TAGTTTTTTATAACTTCTTGAAAAAGTATCTAAGAAACAGTCGCTACTTTGAGAATGCACGTTGGCGCGACATTTGAAATAGGTCAGTCTAGAAGTAGATGAGACGCGGCAGAGACGTTAATTATCCGAGAGCACCCGATCCTCCAAAAGCGACAATTATCCCGAAACAAGCCGGCGGAGATGCGAACTCGCCGGAACCGAATTCCAAAGGCGAAACAGTCGATGCAATGAGCAAACCTAGAACGTGACGTCTGTATCCATTAACGCCGGTGGACAACGTCTTTCGTCAAATGCCGCGTCTCCGGATGGTGGTTCAAAGGACCTTTGAGGACCATTGTTGAGTTTCGCTCTCGCGAACTGCGAATCATGGCAACAAGTTTGCCGAGCCTACCGCACGGATACTCGGACACATGATAAGGACATTAATGCCGAGAATACGTCAGCGGACGTCGCAGTCCCGCGAACTTTCCGGTCGGCGAGTAGATGTTGGGCAAAGTTTCCTCGTTTGCCTCGCGAGGAATTACGTTCACCGCGTGTCTATAATGTTTAATTGCTGTTAGCCGGTTGTCTCAGAATGCAATTAGTAATTCCTTTGATCTCGGTAGCGCGATATTTTAATCCATGAATAATTTCTACAGAAAAATCGCCGCTCCTTCGAGTCTTTTCGCAGAAATACACTTTAGCAAGAATTGAACCTTCTAAAGTAACATGTACATTCTTGTAAAGTGTGTATATTGCATATGCGCATGTGTGCGCTCTGTTAAATCTGCGCTTCACTGGTAATCTGCATAAACAGCAAATATTTTGCAGGCTACTTTATAAAATGTTTATTGCTGAAGCGGCTTATGCATATTTTGTTGCATATGCTCGTACACAAGGGACGTGCGAAATAATAGCGTAAAATGAGAGAACCTCTCATAGATCGGTCACGAAAAAAGTCGCGTTCTTAATATAATTACACTCCCCTAAGTGGATGTGATACCGTTCCGGAATGATCGTCAAGTGGCTTACGCAATAAGCCGATTAGACTGTAAAGCCAAGTACCATCTTTCAATTTATCTTCGCTCAAGCCGAACGAAAAATGCGCTGAATTATCAGTCTACGGAATAAGAGTTACAGCAGGTGTGCATACCATTTTTTTTACACTGTTTATCTTTAATAGAGCGTTCGCGTGATTTATATCTAAGCTTAAGAAAACAATTAAGATACAGTAATTTACTAAAGCACTTTTTGCAAGGGGATTTTGTAACAAGCGTAAATTACAAGCAACCGTGCAACCACCCTATCAATTTAATTTTAGTCACTTTTTATAATTATCTTCTGTCACATTTTGTCATAAATCCTGTGGTAGGTTTGTTTTTTCTATAAGATTTTTCGTAGAATATTCGCTTTTAGTATGTAAATTAATTTTCTATTTTGCGGTTTCTTGAATGATTAATTTAGGGTCGCACATTTAGCATTGCACATTCTGCCCTCGCAACGATAAAGTAAAGCGCGGTACACGACAAGGGACGACAAGTTGACGATCTGAGAAGACAGATATAAACCGCAAGCGGTTGACATTTTATTGTTGCCAACTTTATTGAAATTTTCGCGATCTCAGTCGACCTCTGGTTCAGTGCCTCGCGGTACTTTATCATAAAGTATCAAATTGTTCGCTGTAATAAGGATCAATTTACGAGCACCCTTGATTCTTAATAAGCCGGGGCTTCATTTAGCTATGGGTTTCTTTCGCTTTGCTTCACCTCGTATCTTTTCTTAAGTTTCAAAGTCTTAGCAACTTCGGTTTACTTCTCGAACAAAGATGATTATTACAGAAATTACATATGAAAATTAATTAATTACTTTTATCATAATATAATGCAATATTAAAGTTTTCAACCGCATGAATATGACATAACTTTTCGTCATCGTCAGTAGAAACGACGAATAAGATAACGAAAAATCGTCGAATTGCACGAGTGACTCTTTTGGAATATAATTATAATTGCTTGACGACTTTCAAGAGTTAATTTGATTCTACGCTTAATTTGATAATGTGCTCGGAACGTTTCCTGCAAACGCGACTCCCTCGCTGCAGTTCGTTAATTAACCACGTTGTAAAATCGCGCGCGATTCTTTCAGACACGTCGCTTTATGTTGCTTAACAAGAGCTTCCCTTAGTAATTAAACGTTATCTTTCATTCCCCGTGAGGTGCAACACGATTTATCTGAAAGCGTAAGCCTTCCGTTGAGCCTTTAACGTTATATCGGGGTCGTCGTATGTATCGCGCGCGGCGCGGGCGGCGTGAAAAGCAATTACGGTCCATTTTGTGGGACGTGGCGTGTGCCTGGCCGATGAAATGATATTACTCTCCCGAATGTGAAAATAACGAGCCATATGAATTATTAATGCGCTGAACTGCGAGGTGTGCCGCGCGGATTGCAGCAGGGACCACATTTAAAAGAGATTGCGATACGCGATCCGTTCACTTTGTCCGAATCATCGGCTATCGCCAGCCTATTTTCAGGTGGCTTAATTTCATCTATCTATATCTTAAACGTATGCCTATAGCAGTTTAAATCGTACATCTCTCGGTAATTATATCCCCGCGCGCTTTTATTTATTAAAAATTACTGAAGATTAAAATATTTGGTATTGATATTCGCAGATACATTTCGAAATGCTTTTCTTTGCTAGATATAAAAGTTTTTTTAAATATTTATACGTAGAATATAATATGAATAAGTCTGTTGTTTCATGCCAGTGATTTAGGATACATTTATAATTATTAGTAGAAATATTGTATCGCGTTGGTTTTTTTATTAATATTAGTTTATCAGCTTTATAATAGATCTATTTGTATCCATCGTGATAGTCTTTAAAAAAGTTAGATTCTTCGGTGACAACAGAAGGCGACAAAGCGAGGTCTTGATATGTCCGTAATTACGCGGAATCCTGAGTTCTCGACGTAATAAAACTTAAATAGAGCGAAAAGGAGAATCCAGGCGGGAAACTTGATGGATGGCAACGTCCATCCGCGGATGCAATAAGACCAAACTCTTTCCACGAGACTTCACAACAAGCAGGGTCGACATCTAGCACGATGTTCTCTTTAGCTTTTTCTCTGTAGCGTTGATTTATTTTCTTATCTCTTATCAGGCAGTCAACCAATGCTCTCTGTATAAAAGCTAATGAGATTTGTAATGAACGCAATCGTAAGAATAAGACTAGTTTCCCGATTGCCATCTTGACGCTTGGTTTCTTCGCTTGTTTTTTTCAACTTTTTTAAATCATAACTGAATAAATCCATCGAGATCTATTTTAAGCCCCACTTTGGAATAATTTCGTGTTTGATCTTTTATGTTCGCAACTCTTTATGTTCACACCTTCAATTTAATAATTTACATTTAGTCATAGATTTTTTAACGTTACGTTTTTTCACAGTGGTTATTTTTTTCCATCTCTTTCATATGCAAAAGTGAAAAAATAAACAAAGGTCCGAAGAGAATTGAAGGGGAGATGCGAATCATGCAATCACATTCGCGAACACTTATGTTTAAAATTGGACAATAGAAATGAAATTAATACCATGTCAAAACGTGCTCGAGTAAACATCGACGCAGACCGAGATCCGCTTTAATTAGATTTCCAATTCAGTTCGCCAGCTATTTGCGAACAACACACCTCGTTTCGGGCATTCATGCCCACTTTGTGCAATGTTAATAAATAGATGCGTGCACGTTCGCCGGGTATTGTGTCACTTCGTGAACTCTAACCGTTTCCGTGACGATATGTATTGATTACAGTGCCAGTTTTGCTAATAATTGTACTGTTATTCGCGCCGTCATTTTCAGCGATAATCACCAAGTATCATGACATTAGACGTTAAATGTTTTACAGGCCGGTTTCAATACTTGATAAAGAATTTATCAGGAACTTATATTAAATTTATGCAGAACGGGATTATAATAAATATATAAAAAAAGAATAGAAAATACAACAAGCCTGACTAGACTATCTATTCCGACGCGATTTTAAACTTATATGTTTTTTCCTACAGTATGTGTAGAATGTAAAAGATAAAAAAATCTTTTTCTAAATCTGTGATTTTTATAAAAAAATTGATTTGTTCACATTGCTTATATTAACTTTGAACATCCTGCATAAAAGATAATTTTTTTATTTATTAGACACGTAAATCCATTTTATTTATATTCGAATATCTATTTGAGGGATATTGCAAAGAATTATTGAATTTAATTGTCATGAGAAATTTTATTACATGTTGTTCAATATAATGTATGTAATTACAATTCTGCAATAAGCGACATCTTGATTGAAAGTACGGACCAAGATTCATGGCGATATATCGGAAGTACACGCCGGAAACGTACAATGCATTATGAGCCCCGCGTAACATCGATTAATTAATATCATCGGGTAACCTACTTTCGCTAATTGCTGGGCCAAACGTAGTATGTGTACAAACTCGATCACTAATTAACACGAATTTGAAGCTTATAATTGTCACATGCGCTGCATCAAAGTAGGAAAGTTTTTAACATCGAATATCGCTCTGATTATCTAGTATACTTATCGAACACTTCAGAAGATTGATTCGTTGCGGTCGAAAATCAATACTCGCAATTCATTTCAAGTCATTGTGATACGAAATACAAAGCCGTTTTTAGAAACCTAGTTGTCGTGATTGAGCATACAAAGTCCAATTCTCGATTGTACATTTAATAGAAAAAGGCAATTTCTTAAATTCTAGTAAGTTAAGAGGAAAGCATTGAGGATGCTTCCCAAATGGAAACTTAGAGAACTTTATTTACGAGGTATTAAAAACTTTCCTTCGAGAGTCTCATCATCCTCATTAAATTTGCATTTTATGATGGATTTAAGAAAATTAGAAAGTATCTCGCTTAGGAAGTAGCGCTGTTCTCTAATCTAATATGTGAAGAGATCTTGAAGGATCTCGCGAATAAGCAAAGTTTGCTAATGTGGTCAGACTCACGTGTGCCATTATGGAAGGATACTGCTGGTAGAGCAGGAAGGCTCCGATGAGATGAGCGGCCGAGAAGACAACCCCGGCGATGCAGGCATGCCTGAGTCTGATCGGCAATAGAGCGTAGGCCATATAGATGAAAAAGCAGGCCGTCAAGGCGGCGGCGAGGGGCCCCCCGGTCCGCAAGTCCTTCGACTTAGAGGAGAATGACGTATCGCCGGTATTCTCGCGCGCTTCGTGCTGTCGCGACAAATGAATGCTCAGGGTCACCTGTAGGGCCAACAGGGTGACTAGGACCGCTCCACTAACACCCGCCAGCCATATCTCATTCATACCCGGCCTGGAGATGGCTGCCACCAAAGCTGGAAGAGAAATTTCTTGCTCATTACCGAATCTTACGTCTCCAAGTGTTCGGAGAATGCTTAGAAATACCAAGTCGATACGAAATGGCACAAGTGTTCAATACATATTTCAGAATTGGTGATATTTTTTTAGACCTTTGTCATTTTTCCGTGGGGAGGGGGAGAGAGAGAGAGAGAGAGAGAGAGAGAGATTTATTATTTATCGCAAGCTTTCAAAGTTCCTACATAATACATTCTACATAAGTAAGCTTCTTCGGGTAGAAATTCAATCAAAATTACTGGTGCGACATTGCTCGGTCAAAGCTCGACCCGTTGAAAGGGAGGTATGAAGGCATGAGCTTTGCGAATTGTTGCGAAAAGCAGGTTTTGTTGCGCATCCCGACGCTTTCGAAAGGAAACAGCACTTGTAGACAATATTCTCATGCATTATTGATACCGGGGTCTCGTGAAACATCGCGGCTCACGGAAAACAGGGACCCTCTGCACATAAAGGATAGGATAAGAATGTGCGTCTTTTAGCGTTTGCGACATTTGACTGCATAGCACTTTCGATGCAATTCCGGTAATGTTCAAATTGCATATTTTATGAAAGTTCGAGATTTCCCTGTAAATAGGTTTTTCACGTGATATATGTTGGGTGATTAGATTTTTTTTCCGTTTATTTGCCGATATTTCGAGCAACTTGCATTTGATTTTTCGTTCGATAAAAGTAAACGTGTCAGGAAATGTATCGAAGGTTTAGAGAACTATAACTTTTTATTAGTGTTAATCAGTTTAAATTCTTATACGCACATAATAAAATATATTCTTGATTTAGTTACGAATACAGAGTAAAAAAAAATTTCTTAATTATAATTGAACTGTAAGTGAAATCAGTAAATATTGAATTGGAAGGAAACTTTAAACCGATTCAGGAATACATTAAAGGAAAGAGAAGCAATATTTAAATACTTTTTAAATTATAAAATGATATTTTAACTGAATTTCTTAAACAGATATGAAGTTATCTTTAGCTTAATCTTGAAGCAGATGCAAACTTAATTCCGACATCTCTTATCGCCGAGAAATGTTGACTGTGAAAAATTAATTCGAGAAAGTCGAGTCTTACCGGCGTAAACAGCGATGCAGGTCACCAAGGTGATCGCGAGGGAAAGATTTTCAGGTTTCTGTAGCAGCGTGAAGAGCGGCTGATTGTCGATCATCAGCATTAACTTCACGATAAGTAGTAGGCCCAATGCGAGCGCCAAGCCGACCAGTAGACCGAGCACGTGTGTCATGTTGCTTTGATTCATACGTAGAAAGTAGCGCTGGTACAGCATTTCAACCTGAAACATGACCACAGACTTGCTACACATTGTGTCAATCAAGAATTCGTCGGTAAACTGAAAACACTCGCATGCCGTATAAGTAAATGCGAGCGAGTATTAAACTTGCTAAAATAAAACTTTGAAAAGATGCATATTCTTAAATAAAATCTTTCCAAAGAGATAGCAGTTTTAAAGATATTTATTGAAATTATTGCTGCGCTGCAAATTATTGTTGCGCCAAATTAATAGCTGTTTAGTTACTGGATCTGAATATCCACTAAATGAACTATTCGCTGCACTGTATCGATACGAAGTCATAGTTATATGCAGATACGCGGTGAGCAAACACACCTATTTCTCGGAATGTCGATAAGAAAATATACGTATCGTGAAATATCTCATCAAAGTTAATTGTTACGCCGTCGAACGTTAAAAAAAGAAGTCGATTAAAATAGTCGATTAAAATCGTCGGGGGGTAGCGGAGAGTGTCTACAGGTTGATCAATTTTCATCGGATAAAATTGCAGATAGAGTCTAAAATTGAAAGTGAAATTCGGTTTAACTAGAAAAATTCGGGACGAACTTCTCTGAGATGTGGATCAAATCGATCCGCGCGATGGCCGTATCCGCTAATTAGTTTTCCATTATTTTAAGAGGTATTATTTCAGGAACTATTTTCTTTTTTCAAGCATGCAGAATCTGCATTCAAGTGCATTTTTTAATGGTGCCGCGGTTGGAGCAATTTGTGACCCGCATTTTGCTTACAATGCATTTTATAACGAGTTTTCATCGCGTTTTACTCCGTTATAAATTCTATATGAAGTATTATATGATTGAGATATATGCTTAAACGGATACCTTTGATAACGCATAGCTTTGACAAAGAGCGGGATATCTGACGAAATTTCATAATGTTATATTTATGATATCTGTATTCCGCGATTTCTTTTTGTGAGACGCGAATATATCGCAGGCAGTGAAGATGCGTATGCGCGATGTTTTTCTAATACGCGATACGCGGCACTACATTTCTTAAATTCTCCGTGGACAGAATAACATTAACGGCGACACGAGACAAGAAGAAATGGTAATGAGATAATAACGTGTATACTCTGTATGCTGATCGTTATATGGAAAGGGTGGTTACTATTGGACGAACGGAACGTCCTAGATATCGCAGGGAAGATCGGGAAGCGGTCGGAAATTTATATCAACACAACGATATCTATTTGCAGAGACTTGCGCGCAGACATATTACGTTACTGTTGCCGTTGGATTTTACGTGGCGTACCGCCGTTACCCAGCGCGGTCGGTGCAATTTGTACGTAGCCGCGAATCGCCAAGCCGCCTGCAAAGAACCGTGGGCCCTCTGTCGAAAATGGAACTTAATCAAATCCAGATCAAACAACGTGAGGGAGGAAAATCACGGAACGATTGAATTTTATTTTTATGCGCTTTCGCGTACTCCACGTTCCTTAGCATATTCCTGATTTATCTGCCTGCAATGCAGCAATACGTTTGAAAGGTGCATTACATTATGTATTCCCTTCAGGCGCTGCCTCGGCAATGTCACTCGTTTACTAAAAAAAGGTGGAAGAAACGATTTTATATGGGGTAGTAAAATTAAATTTGTACGTACTGTCATATCGATTTTTATATTTGCTGTTTCAAATTGTCAGATTCACCGTTGTGCACATTATGGTCGTAATATTACAATTTTAATACTTTCTTTCTTATGCGCTGCTAAAAATGCAACATTGCAACAAACAAATTAAGCCGATTTAATGACTACATAATTCGCGAGAATAGAATTTTATTTTATGCTGTGTAATAGAGGAAAAAATATATAATTGTATACGTATTAAAATACGTATCAACATTCGTGGTGTACAAAGTTGTCTGTAGAATTTTATTCTGAATATTCGCGAATTATAGGTCTTTTGCAGCATATTTTAGTGCAAATTAATGCAACGAAATTTATTCATTGCCATTCATTTGTTCACTATAAGCGTGCCACGTGCTCGCCGTATTTACGACGCAGCAGATCGCAATCCGCGCAATAAAACGCCGCCAACGCTAGAGTAATTTTTCGGTTAGCTTTCGGATTGCGAGAGGGTAAGAGTTAGGTTTGATTAAATCGAATTCAACAGAGTCACGTGGGGGAAAATCGAGGGGGTGCCGATAGATAACAGCCGCTAATCGATAGATAGCCGGTTGCAGTGCGACTTTTTTTTTGGCTGTTCGCCTCTCTGTAGGATTGGCGAGAGAAGAGATCTTATCGCGTATTCCAGATGGAATTGCTGTCATCGGGCGCAATCGGATTGCCCGGTGACTATTGGCGAGCTATCAGTGGTGATAGCGATCGACAAAGGCTCGTTATCGTCGCGCTGAGTCGTTAATATTTTAATCTTCCACTGTGCCACGAGAAACGCACGCGAACAATGCAACGTTACGAATACACCTGGGAATCGTAACCGCTGCTTTTCGATACGGACGTAACATACGATTTTCAAATGAACGACGTTGGCGAATCTTTTGTTACGCGTTATTATTCTATTCTATATCGCGAGAGCCTTTGCTATAATGCAATATTATACGATACGCGATAGTATAAATTATATAACAAATATAAAAGGGTGGCCATCTCTGTTTTTCGCCATCTCCTTTCTGGTCTCGACGATGTTCTCGATATTTCTCATATGTGAGCGTAATGCATAATCCATTGTTCCATTATAAAGGGAGAAAGCGTGCCCCGCGGAAATTTGTGACGTAAATCCCAAGCATAAATCGCGATGCACTTCGTTTAACTCCCGGTATACCCTTGTTTGCTCGCTTGTACACGCGGGATATTCTCATGGGTCTAGCTTTACCATGATGGTTGAAAAATGACGCTTCTGTCGAGAGGACTAGCGATGACGACATGACAAAGGGTGTCGTAAAGTTTTAAAGGTTACATCGAGTTGAAAAAGCAAACGAAATGCGACCAGAGGACACATGTTGAACAAACCGCGATCCTCTTTTCTTGTCAATCCTTTCACCCTCCATGAATCTCGTCACTTCTCGTTTCTCTCTTTTTCTTTCTTTCTCCCTCCCTCCCTCTGGTCGTATCTGTCGTGAATAATCGACCTTCCGTCTTGGTCTAATCTTGCCGCGAATCACGGAGTTGCATTCGGTTCGCGGCTACGATTGTAAACCGGGAACGATCGCGACAGAATGACAGATATTGGGCGGATTAAGTCGGTCGGGCCCCGAGGGTGTGTACCATCGGAATAAATTTTATTTAAGTCGCCTCGCTCGCTACATTTGTCGGTGCTGTAATTTCAGAGTTTCTCCTTCGTTGCGAAGTAAGGTCCCGGAGGACGGGAAGGAAAATTAAATACCGTCTTTTGCGTTGAATAATAATAATAAAAGAAAATGTATGGCCAGGACAAATTGAAAAATTAGTATTTTATGCCGCCACATTGGCGCTTTACATTTTCGAATCAATATACCTATGGAATTGTCGAGAGAGTGATGGAGATTTTATTAGATCTAGATTTATTGTATCTAAATATCTTAACATGACTTAACTGAAAATTTGTTCTGAAATTCCTCGAAAATTATCGATATTTGAATAAAATTATCGTGTTTTTCGAAGCGCCCGTAAACGTTAATTTGGTCTCTCGGTTTCTCTTACGTGACGAAAGTCTTCAAATGGCCAATAACAATTAAATACATATAACGACAGCGCTTTTATCTCTGTCATTGAAAAAAGAAACCAATTAACCTCTATACCATGCGACGAAATATGAATAATCACGCACGTGTGACCGAGATACCTTCGGGCGCAATGAATAATTTCGTTGAGAATTTTCGTCATTTGCATACATTTGTGCTACACGGTTTCTCTCCAAAGAAATATCTCTCCTCGTATCTGTAGGCTCGTATTGCAGACATCCAATATTCCAATGTTCGCAATCGCAAGCTCCTTTTTCACCGCAATCATTACTGCTATGTTTTAAATATTTCTGTTTCTTTTTTCACTGTAATATAATTTTAATGAATCCTTCACTTGAAATTTATCTCATGCAATTAGAATGCAGTTACAAGACTTTGCTGTCTATTTGTATATTGAAAAATTAATTTGCGCGAAAACCTGTAATTTTTTAAATCGCATTTTTTTTTATTTATAATCTGCAAACTTGATACTGCAACATTTATTTATTGATTTTATTGAAAACGCGAATTCAAATTAATCGTTCGCGAACGAAAATTTCTGATATTAATTTTAAAAAATCATTTGATACTTTATTCTCTCTTCATAGTACATTACATAGGCGCTTTATAGTACACAACTGACTCGAGTGAGCATGTATCGGCCGTTCTATTCACGAAAATGTGTCGCGATATCGCCTATTATTACCGCGGTCCTTTAACGCGTCGATAAGGACATTTATTTCGTCAGATAGCAAACACGACGACGTTAGAACGACGGAGGGTTCCCCTATCTCGCTCATTCGAACGGAAAAATGACGGCGAGTCGGCCATCGTATCGGAGGCATCCGCGACGCATCGCCGACGGGAATATCGCTGAAGCGAAACGCAATCAAATCGTCGCGTGTCACGCGAAAAACGCCCATGGGGGGTTCACCCCCATCGACTCGCCGGAACCCGATCTACGTGACCAGACAATGCAAGTCGCTCCCGTGGGAATCGCACGAGGAACATCGTAATTCGCGCCGTTTTCCGGTTATCCTGTCACGTTCCCCGTGACAATCGCGAGCCAATTTTCGAATTCACGGGTCGTCGCCCTCGAATTCCCGCGTGTAATACAAGGACTCTCGTAAACCCGTACCGATTTCCGAACGAGAGACCGCTTTACAGGCTATTTTTTTTCAGTCTTACGGGCTATTTTTTTTCAGTCTCTGCACTTAATCGCGACACAGTTAACGCTTAAAATGTCCTCGCGAAATCGTTATATTAATTTTATATTTAACTGCATATAAATTCATAAGCTTCGACGATTGTTATTGTTAATCTTCAGTAACACTCGATTAATCCTATCTATTAATTATCTATTAGTTTTGTTAATTATGGCTTATTACACTTGGCGCTGTAATCCATTCGAAGCAATGCCATTAGAGAAAGAGCAGCCTCGTAGGAAGACAGATCGATGTTGTACATGCAGGAAAGAAGACGCGAGTGTCGATACGTCACTGTAATGTTTATTGATTGGAGGTAGATGAGTTTACTTTAGGATTTACTCGAGCTACTTCTCGCAATAGAACGGATAGGCAAACCGTGGCGGTTAATGTATAACAGGTACTGATCCGGGGCCAAACTTTAACGATCCAGTTACTCGAATTCCAATTGTCGTCTCAGTGAGTCTTACACGAAATTCATAAGTTCCGGGTTCTAGGTTAATATTATTAACAGACAAGTTCTACGTTTCGCTGAATTCATTATATGCCACGTATACTCGAGTCTCGGCAGACGAATGTGAAGATTCGCGAAAGAAAATTATTCTTGCGCAAAAATTAACAACTCGACGCAGTTCGTGAGAACAGGTAACAAGCTTATGTTTGGCGCAGAGCGACACGAAACGACGAGGCGAAATGTAAAACGCATCTGCTGCGTTTTCAGCGATGCATCAAACTTTTAAGAGTAGTCGTAAAAGAAGCTCTTCGGTAGATAAATGGTTACGTGTCGTTTTTCTTTGCTAGAAAACCAATCGGTAAGTTCCGAAGATATTTTTCAGTATTATGTACGATGCATTGTAGAAAACTTGCTCACTTTTTTTCAAAGCTAGTCGTGTAACAAAAGATTAAGTTAAACATGTCCCGGTTTTCTTTTTCTCCCAAGAAGGTTTCAAAACTTCAGCAGTTTTAATTAACGATTCTCAACAATGTATACGTTAAAATACAAACGGAAGACCATAAAAATGTAAAACTACACGAATACGCGATCTTATAATCAATAATAACGTTAGAAAAACAACATTTTTTATACATAGATATTTTTGGGTTAATTGTTTGAATTGCAAAGTCCAGTTTCGTGCAGTTATAAATTACCGTATTGCGAGTCGAAATTTTGCTCCTACTTTTAAAGATAATTTACACCTACATAGACCAGCAATAACCTACTTTGATGACATTATATTTTTTTACCTCCTCCCTTGAATCTTTAATTCCAAAAGTTTACTTTAGCTCCTACTTAAAAGGGCCTACTTTAATGCTAAATTGGCAAAAGTAAAAATTTTCGACACTGCTTTAAAGAGTAAATTTTGTACTTGCAGTTCGACCTTTTTTACTGTCCTACTATATAATAGAATTAAAGGTTCAACATGGGGTCAAAATTTTGACTGGGGATGTCAATCTAAAGTAAATGAGACTTGAAATATTTCTCGACAGCGCAGCGTTCGGATATTCAATATTCTAAAACACCTCCGCGATTTCCATACATCGAAGCTCTTGTTAGGATATTCGCTGCGTTTGACGGGCGAGACATTTCGGCATATTTCTGTTCAAGCCCTACGAATGGCAAAGGGTTGGCTAACGCGTTAACCACATCGTTCGTGCCGCCAGACCAGCGGGTTTCGCAGCCTCGCGGGCACCACGGACGGTTGTATCTTCACCAGCCGCGTTCTATTTTCCATCGGGCAAAACCGATGATTCAACCACAAAACGCAGCGGTTGTGTCCGAGACACATATGCGGCCTACGAGAAGAGAGACAATTTGCCGTTCGCGTCGGAATCGCGTTATCACTCGCAGAAAAGAGAGAAGAAATACGGCACGCAGTTTCGGGCTCGAAAAACTGTCGCGAGTTTGTTCGCTATTTTATGACACTGCACGGAGCTTTTCGGAGGTCGATACTTGTTGCGCGAAATTTTATTCTCCCGGTTAACATCTCTTTTTCCCCTTTTTTTCCTCCGTCCCCCCCCCCTCTCTCTCTCTCTCTCCCCGACTTGCTCGAGTTTGCCAAGTCTGACGTGTATTACTACTCCTACGCAGCGCGACGCACGTCAATCGACGGCGCCGACACGCTTCACTCCCTCGCGCGTGCCTCCGCATGACAAACTTAAATTAATTTCCGATAGCATCATTGATTTGCATGACAACAGTTTGACGAGGAATGCCACTACCGTCAGCTTAAGACGCCTTGAGATCTTGTCGGAGGGCCCCTCGTTGTTAGCGGCGGATTTTTCGAGAAATCGCATCATTAGCGAGATTGAAAAGTACAGATTGCTGAGACTTCCACGAAACGAAGTGTATCTAACGCGTGAAATTACGTCTAATGATGAGTTTCACGTATTTGTATTTGCAAATCGCGAGTTAACTCTTATTATAAAACACGTAAACTGTTATTGGGAGATAAATGAGAAACCTGCGGAGATGATTATTGAAAACAAATTCCGATTATTATTATCGATAAATCATAATTTCGATATTGGTTTTAACGAAACCTTTGCATAAAACGATACCAAGATCACGGTAGACGATCGTACCATCGGAATACACTGAGATACTAGCAAGATTAATAACGACTTCACGCAATATTTTACGGAAACTTATTATACTATAAACAATCCTTTAATAAGAATTATATTTGCGCAGTTTTAATATTCGTAATTACCAGATATCGGACTTAACTTCAAACAAAGCCCTCCGTAAAAAGTATGCACAGGCAGTAGTTTCAGCCACGTGTGGTCAGACGCACAATTGCTGGATCGGCGAAGCCTAATCGTTTCTACTTGGCTGTAAATCTACGTCGGATTCAGCTAATATTTGTTAGGTGCACCAGCAGCGATCGATGTAATTACGTATCCGGGCACTCTTATTAAAAGCGTGATGTTCGAGCAATTACGGAGAAAAAGAGGAGGAAAAAAAACGGGCGTGCGCCGCAGAAAATGGTTACCGCTCCTACCTGCAGGTTTTTGAAATGATGAGAGCCACAGAGCGAGCTCAGGAATCTGCTCAGAGCGCATTTCCGCGTGTGCTGTGTGATTCCTGTGTTCGTTGCAGCTTCCGTCATAGACTCCCTTCCAGTTGTCGGTGCCACGCCGACCTCCGATCCTCTAGCCACCTGCAAACAGACCGACGATTATGCCTCGAGATACATATAACATATCAAAGATATTGAGAGATCGACACATTACGCGCGGAAGATCATCTTAAATTTTGATGAATCATAGGCATATAATTGCAATTTGCGTGAACAGACGTTCATAACTAATTATGATAGCGTAGTTTAATAACTAGATAATATATCGCTCAAAAAAATGATGTTGCAACTGCAGCAACAATTTCCTAGGTACGAAAAAATAACTGAGATATATAAATGAATAGCTAATACTGCGAAATCGCATATGCTTTGTATTTAATAATTTTAAATAACAGAAGCAGAATCTTTGAACTGTTGGGATCTACAATGCGAGTCTCAAGTCGCAATCGTAAGAATAGTCGATTATGATTGGTCAATTCTTGAGTGTTTGACTGAATTGACCAATTACAGTCGACTATTCTTACGACTGCGACTCTGAGATTCGCATTGTAGCATTAGCGAATGTTAGGAAGAAAGTCTTTCTGTGACGCATATCCCTTATAGCGTTTGATTGTGGTACATAAACAGTTATATTCCTTGCAAAGATTGTTCTAGCTATGGTACCGAAATTCATTTTTGTCCAGTATAAATGATTAATATTTAGTCACGAGACCTAAACTTTCCAGAAGATAGTATTACAATATTGCTGCTAGAAATTTTGTAGGCTACAAACAATATTCTACACAAAATAGCGATACATTTTTGTTGCGACACCTAGAAATCTACCTGCGTTAGTAAGATACTTTTTTGAGTGTTAGCAAAGTTAATTAGAAAACTCAAGTTGTAGGTATATCTCGATTCTGATAATTTCAAAAAATTCTTTAATTTAAATTATTTCAATTGTACGGAGAAATGATGCAAATAATTCTCAAACTATGAATTATTGAAAGTAAACGTTTTTTCAGGAATCGAACTTTGCAGGCGGAGAAATAAATATTCGCGCGTTATTCATACATTGATATGAATGTTAATCGCGGACTTTTAATTGCAAATATATCGAAAACGTGTATATTTAAGGATAATGAAAAAAATGATTCAAATTTCACAGGCGCGCAACGCTGTGCCGTCCACGTTTCGGTTAATTTCGGGAGTAGGTAGTCGCCGTGTCCCGATTCGTCGCGCAAACAGTACGGCGCACGGTGCATAAATGTGATTTAACGAAAGGCACACATTGTAGCCGGCGGACGTGTTTGCTGGTGTTTGCCCGTAATACGATAATCGTTGCCTACCCCGGCACGATTGTTTGTACATACGTCGGCCGCGAGCAGTTTCCGTAGCGATAATTCCATCCATTCCGAGAGAGATCATGAAACGCGCGAAATACATACGAAGCGTATGTGTTGTCGAGAAATTATTTATTCATTCCGTTTTCTACAATATCGTGATTTTTTGTTGGACTCTGCAATGCGTTTACGAGGGATCGCGCCGTCAATTTTCGACGGTTCGTCGTGCAAAATGGCAATTTTGATCGCGGCAACACAGTCGAGAATTGATAAATTACGGCGTGATAAACAAGGAAACTTTCGTCCGCAAATTTGAGATAGCAATGCGAGTGTAAAAATCCATTCAAATAGTTAAACGAGGATCATAGCGACGGGAGAGACGAACTTTATTGGCAAAGTCCAGTACTGGAATGCCGTGTAATTCACGACGTCGCGGCGTCGCGCCTTGAAAATTGAGCGGATGTATCAAAGGGAAAGGGGTCTGACAAAGTGGTCTCGCCTTTCCGCACAGTTTCCCATTTCTTCGTTTTGTCCAGCGATTCGTACTGCTCCTGCTGGAGACTCGGCCGCGGTAATGGTGAAACGTGATGCGCGTGCATCACACGGACGTATCACTCATACGATCACGTGCGAGCGGTTGTTAATAGAATGTACTCTTTCTCGTAGACACTCGAAATTTTACCCGGTTATCCGATAATGAGGTAACATTCTCCGATGTTGAAAGTTACGCCATTCGCGGATAATGATAACTTGGAAGACTTACTGAAAACATTGGGAACCGCAACACATGTAACTCCGTTTCCCTAATTTAATTATTACTTGTTGATTTTAACTGTTAATTAATTTAATTATAACCTAGGCATGAAAATTTTTGCATCGCAAGTACCATCTTTTTTTTTACCAAATTCAGTGAAATTAATAATGACTTTGCACCCGATCCTGAGATAATTTATTATCTTCACATGAAATCTGTCGCATTTATTCATGCACGTAAACCAAATAAAATTTATTAAACTTCGAGGAAGTACACGTGAAATGTTTGTATTAATTGTAACTAATAGTCTATAATATTGGACATTAATATAATCTATTAGCTGTCTACATATAACACATAATTATAAATATTCATTTGACAGTTGTTTAATTATTTGAAAGTTAATTAATGTCACGAGACATTTGTAGTGCAATGAATAACGCAAAGTGCATAAAATTATAAAATATAATTAGCTCTACCTACTCGTTTATTCCTTTTTATAAAATTCAAGCATTTTTCTTCAAAAAAATGTACGTTGCAAAAATGCATTGCCACTCTTACTTTGATATTACAATTTAATTTACATGTGCCGTGTGTTAATTATCCAGCAATTAAATCAATATTCACTTTCTTAAAATACGATATTAAATTATTGCCAATTTTTATTACTCTTCATTTTTATTTTCAAAAATATTTTACATTTTTGGAAATATTCTGTAATACCTATTTTACCTGAAATCTAAAAAATAAAATTCATCCGGTGTCCATAATCGCGATGATATTTAATTTGCGATATTAGGCAATTCTTGGCGATTGTTTGGTACATGTAGTGTACTCGAGTCGAAATTTTGGCCTTATGTTGAACCTTCGATTCTATTATATAGTAGGACCTAAGACAGTAAAAGAGGTCGAACTGCAAGTACAACATTTACTCCAAAATTTACTGATAGTGTCGGAAATTTCTACTTTAGCCAATTTAGCATTAAAGTAGGAGCTAAAGTAAATTTTTAGAATTAAAGATTCAAGGGAGGAGTAGAAAATATAATGTCATCAAAGTAGGTTATTGCTGGTTTATGTAGGTGTATAGATCAGCTAAGTAAGTGGAAATTATCCTTAAAAGTGTCAAAATAGTACCAAAATTTCGACTTGAGTACACTCAGCGTCGTGAATGCCTTTACACCTGAGGAAAGGCACTAAAGATATCCAGTAGGAAAACTTATTTTAACAAACTGAATTTTCCTATCGGATATTGAACTTGACGGCTATTTTCAGGTGTAAAAGCACCTTTCACGATGCCGAGTGTACACTCTGGTACGCTTTGGTATATGTATCAAGCAAACATCAAACGTCGCCTAAAACTATACATTCGATAGAGCATAAAGACTCACCGTGATGATGGAGGGACGCGGCGCGCCGGTGAAATGCTCGATGACCTCCCAATTGGACTTCTTGATGGGCGGGGTGTGCGGCGTTTTCGGTGTATTAGGGGTGTGCGGTTGCGAGGACGGCGTGGAGGGTTTGGAACCCGATGTATTGAACAGCAGCTCAACGCGGGGTTTACCGCCGTCATGGCTACTGCTCACATGTTGCCTGAGGCTCGCCCATCTTCTGGTGGTCCTGGGGGCCCCGGTTATCGTTCTGTGCCCGATTTCACCCTGGCGGAATGAGAAAAGGCGCGATTATTCGATTGACGAAACACGCTATCGACCCGACGTTAGTTAACCACGGAATATCCCTATACATTTGCGATTGCATTGCTTGTCTCTTTGTATTCGAAAATCTAACACAATACCTGGCAGCTAAAACAGGTGATTTGAATGTTTGTATGTAAAAAAATTAAGATGAACCGACTCCAATAAAAGAAAGAAGAGCAAAGAAACAGGCAATAGGAGTCAATACAAGAATGTGTGCTTAATATTATACATCAAGCGCGTACTTCACATAAGAATTTTAATATACAAATTAATTTCTTATCACCATGATTGTAGTGACATAACTTCTTGTGTTGACTCTTATTGCCTGTTTGTTTGTTCTTTTTTATTTTTATCGAGTCTGTTGATCCAACTTAATTTTCTACATAGAGAGAAAACTTATTAACATTTTTGTTCAAAGTGACGAACTTTTAAATGAACATCATTTCTTTGAAGCACTGCTCGCCATTATTGCGCTCCACTTGATATTCAAATTTTGACAAGGGCTAAGCTTAACGAAAGGATGGTAGAAAAATAATTATTTCGACTTCATTCGATTTAGATGTCATTTTTCTTTTTTGCCGGAAAAAAATATTTCCAAAGATCTTTTTAACGTCGGATCAGGGGAAGTGTTGTGTCACAGAGACGCCATTATTTATGTCGCCTCAGGCGTCGAATGTATCTACTTGGATCTGCTCAAAGGTGAAACGGCCCGAGCGGCATCAAAAGAAAGTCGACACCCGTTACGTAAATTTTCGCAGCTCTACGTGGAAATTGCAGTATACGGAGAGAAACGTGAAGCTACGTTTTTGCACTACAATGCATAACGTCGTGCATGCACTACGTCAAAATTCTCTCAAAATCTTCTTCCTCCGAGCGCGTCGCTCGTCTCATGCCCGTGCACATATCCGCGAGATTATGAAAATATCTTTAAAATATACTCGCGACTCGAAACACAATAAATATCAAGATATGCATATAAAGTACCGAAGAACATTGCAGCGGGTGATTTCTCCCGAAACACCCCGCGAAAAAGAAATGGGCTTTCGAGCCCTCGAGGAACTCACGTTCTTAGAAGCGAGACGCGACAGTGTTACCGGATGGCGGTGTGTACTCTAAACCGGCAGTGACGTTGTCGGGAAGTGACTTGGTACGCGGCAGCATAAACCGCGTCAGCTGTCAGGGATTTCGACCTAGTCATCGTCCGACGTACGCGCGTCCGCCCCGTCGTCGTCATGGTCGTTGCCCGCCGTGAAATCGCGAGTCGTCGATGCAGAAAAAAAAAACGCGGCAGTAAACCTCGCGAAACGAGGCTCGCTTTTTCAGGATCGATGAGCGCGACAACCCCGAAACAACGGGGATGGAAACTGAAGCTGTGACCCCGGTAAACAAAGCCCCATCGCTCTCGTTTCGTGCGCTTTCCGCATTTTTCTCTGACAAAATGGGGCACTTCACCTCGTTTTCGGCGCGGTCTCTCGATACTGCGTTTTGGGCAACGACACGTATACCTGTGCGAACGGAGACAAGGGCGCGGAGAGTCCTTGCACGTTGTATGCAGCAACCGTCATGTGGCTCGCACAGACGCACGAGTCGTCTTATTACGTTGGACAAGCGACTGGATTTGCGTTATATTATTCGTAATTGCACCGGGACGATGCGAGAGGTAATTGCAGCCTTATAGCTGAATTAACATTCTACGTGCCGAGCATTAAATCAGAACTCGATCGTTGCACTGAATTCTGAAGACGCGTACAAAAATAATGCAGATACTACAGGTTGGGGCATAAACACCTGACGGTTTTTGGAATAATCTGAACACTGTGTGCTTGGTCAAAGATATGTTTTGGTCATGTCGAGGGATACACGGTTACATGGAGTTTCATATGACATAGTACACTGACGGTTTTACAATAGTTTATTTTTTATTTGTGGTACAGGTTTGTCATACAAGTCGTACAGGTTTGTGGTACAGGTTACCAAATCGTCAGGTGTTTATGTAAATTATATTTGCAACTTTATTTTTATTTGTTTATTGCAAATCAATGCCGCATTCTTATCAGCCAATTATTATGTTGTGCAATAAATTAAATTCTAACGAATTATGACAGTCTTGAAAAGCTGGAGTGAAAAGGGGAGGAAGATGCAAAAGAAAAGAAATAAAGGCTCCGGCTTTTCTTTTCGCAAAAACAAAATAGAGACTTAATATGACACCGATGTCTTTTGCGAATCCTCTTGCGTTGAGAGATTCGTGAGGGAGTTTCGTCGAAGACATACTCGTATACGCTTTCTCCAAGATTGAATTAAGGATCAGTCGCGAGTAATGTTCCTTTTCTTATTTATGTATTATACGGACTCGGGTGCTTCGTGGTTTCTTCGAAGCTTCTCCAATGTCCAGCACGGAGTATGCGATTGAGTATCACGTGTCTTTTGTGTCAAGCTAATCAGAAGAAGCGACTTTGAAAATGTTTTTTTACTGATAATAATCGTATAATAAAATAGAATATAAATTACACTGATAAAAAAATATCTTAAACCAAAAAATATTACTTTAATCAAGAAAATGATTCTTATCTTCAATTGAATGTAGAAAATGTAATGATTTAAATTAATTTACTTAATATAATACACAGATTTATAGTTGAAATTTAATATTTTTATTTAAATTGAATAAATATTTACTTCAGTAAAAAAATAATTTTAAGCAATTCTATTTACTTAGTTTAAACAAAATGTTCAGTGTAGAATTTAATCGTCTTTGTGTTAAATTTCGAAGGTACATACAAAGTTAATTCAGGATATTACTTTAAATTAAAATTAAAAGTACTCTTTTACATTTAAAAGATATAAGATAGCGTAATAAAAATAATAAGAATAGAAAAATAAAAATAGAAATCTGAATTAAAGAAATTCTTGACACGTAAGTCGTCTCGCTTCTTTTGGGGCGCCGTGTCGAAGTAACTAAATCCGCGTCTCTCTTTCGAAACTGAAATGTGAGATGTGACTTTTCACCTTTACACACACGTGCCGTACGCTCTGTTCGCAGACGTTCATACGTTCTTCCGATTTTCCGCTCCTCTTCGTGTATCGTCTGTGTATCTCGATGTTCACGGGTAGTTTTCAGCTCGACGAATCTTCCAATGGCGGAACTTTCATTGTGTCGGTGCAAGCTCGTGCACTTTTCGCGATAGCGATATTACAGATATATCAGTGTAATGTGCTTCTTAACGCTACTTCGGTCTCGCGACACATGACACTTATCGTTAGTTCGCTTCAAAAATAAGAAATAATGATTTTATATTTGGACAAATATTTTCCAGCCAAAAATCCATTATGGTCACAATTTTCTGTAATATCTTTAATCATAGCATATTTTGATCGCTACCGCGAGGAAACTCTTCACGCGAGGTATTGTTTACTTCCCTTTATGTGATGTAAGTCGCAAACATTCATATATCATTACGTACTGACATTTACGTGGCATACGGAGATCTGATGTTAATCTATTCTTTCTTTCGTCTAATCTTCCTGCAAATTCTAATGAAAAGTTTCTATATTCTATAAAATACACGATTAATGCTTACGCGAATGTAAGCCCTTCGATATTTCATACCGCCTGCTCTTTCGTATCGCGTGCTACGAAAATCGTTCTATGACTGACGGTGTTCCCGCAGAGAAAATCCGATATTGTTCTACTTTTGTGAGGCGCGAGAATGTCGGAGCCTACACCGACATGTATCACTTAAGTGTCGTTGGTCTTCGCATCAAGTATCACATTCTGTTAATGAATTTCATTAGCAGAAGGACATAAAATTCATATTCTGCTAACGCGCGTTTACTTAGCGTCGCTGTATATTTGGCGAATCTTTCGCTTAAACGCGCACGTATAGCTGTATATGCATTTGGTGATTAAATGAAACCTTCTAAATTTCCCCGTTCACCGTAAAGGTAAAACGTGAAATTATACGTTTTACCTTTACGGTAAGCGCTTTGGTTTTAGCGAAATTACCGAAATGAAATCTCAGATCCATACGAGATGGAGATGTAACGTTTTTCGTATTAATCCTTTTAATCGTGGTTTTCATGAACGAACTATTAAGCGTGGCGTATTTAATGGAGGAATAAAATAAAATAAAGTCTGCCTCCTTTGCTGAATTACTCACGTAATTCTCCTCGTAATCGCATCGAGTGTAAGTTTTTTTTTCTATCCACACTTCGCACTCTGTTGATTAAGTGAAAATGCTAGCGTAATTTCACTTACACAGGCGGCGATGATTGGTTATTCTAGGCAAGTTATCCTTGTGCTGCGTTCATTTCATATTTTCCCATCAATGAACTTTAATCATGTCGAGTATATATCGACGATATTAATTTCGTTTATTAAACAGAAAGATTGCATTCGGTTGGCCGAATGCGACATATCGCAAACGACATGGTATTAATTGTGTAGCAAATTATCAGTTAAGGGGATGCTGGAGTAATTCTGCATCTTTTGCACTTTTTACGTCTACAACTGCCAATTCACGAAAACATTTATGTAATATACAAATTATGTGGCTTTTGTGCACAAACCGACAGTGTTCCACAAATCAGACTAAATCAAAGAACAACATTGTATCATTGAAATTAAGTTTAGAAGCCTAACAGAAAATCTATTTGCTCATTTTTGTCAGGCTTCTAAACTTAATTTCAGTGATACCACGCTGCTCTCTGACCTGTACACAAAAGCCACATAATTTGTATGCTACACAAATGTTTCCACGAATTGACAGTTTTAGGAGTAAAATCTGCAAAAAGTGCAGAGTCACCCCTTGCTGTGTAAAAGTTGAAACGAAAAGTTTGATCGAGAAATTTTGCGGCCAAGTGATAGAAAACGCAAAACATTTCTCTGCAATGTTCCAGTTGGTGCTCACGTTTAATTAACATCTACATCCGAACGGCATCTTCGAAACATACGGTGCTTTTTG